ATTCCGCCTGAGCATATGGTTATATCTATCACTTCCTGTCTTCTAGAGTCCAGGAAGGTAGGTTCTGTTCCTCTATTCAGGATGTGTAGCTCCATACCTACCACAAAGTTGAATAGGCTCTCACCCCTGGGATTTATGTCGGTGCTCCCCCACACCAGGTGGTGCGAGTTGGCATCGCATCCCAGGAGTATTTCTAGCCCTTTCTGCCTTGCATAAGTCGTGAGTTTAATCATGTTTTCGTGTGGGGGCAGGTTTTCCAAATCGTAGGGCATGTACACTGACCCTATAATTAGATCCCTGGCTATTCCACCGGTCGTCTTTATTTTCAGTCTGATGGCAACAAAGTCACCATCGCTAAATTGTGGCAGTAGACAGGCGTCTATTCCTTTCGCTATAATGCACGCTCTCGGTCGGTCCGTGTTTCCGGCCCAGAATAGTTTTCCACAGCTGCCAAGTCCTTTATGTGTCCCTTGATGATCCATGGTTCCTGTATTAAAAATATATATTTACTTGTGTGCATCACAGCTGCGCACCTGGCTAGTACAGCCGAGGCGCTTTTGCTGTGATGCAAGTTAATCTGCGTAAAGTGAATCCGGTCCGCCATATTTATGCTGACGGTCCGATTTCTCCTTTGCGCCTTCCTTACTGCTTTCTCCAGCAGGCAACCTGATCGTTGCCTGCCCAAGTCCACAGTAGGGTTTAAAATTGAGAGCTCTTAACGCCCTCAAAGCCCCATCCCCAACAAGGGCAGCGAAGTGGGTGCTCGTGGCGTCCCTGCTTTCGCTACCCTTCGCGATCACCCAGTCCGGTGACTGGATGCCTACGTTCTGCCTGTCAAGTAGCTCCAACGCTTCCTTGACAGGTATTGTGGGATCCTCAACGTGCACTACGATTCGATGTCTCTTAGGGAGCTCATCGACCGCAGTGCACGCAGTTCGATCCCATTGATCTTGATTTCTGAGGTTAGGCTTCTAAGCCACTCCTCAGTTTCCCTGTTCGTGCAGTTAAAGACAACTGCCCCATCCCTATCCGAGGTGCCTCTGAAAGTAGGCGCTTTGGTACCCCTTGCTAAGCAAAGGATACGCCTCCTGACCGTTTCTTTCAGAAGCGATGCCTCGTCTTTTTCAGTCTTTTGTCAGGGTAAGCCAAGGGAACCAGGGCAACCCTCACAAGACCGGAGGTCAATTGGGCAAAAGTCCTTTGATCAGTTATGACTTTCGGCCTTTTGCCCAACTGAGTGTTACTGGCAGGACTGGGTGTGCTATGCTCCGATCTGAGTCGCTTTACCGCCCCAGAAGAAGCTCGCTCCCCCGTCCTGGAGTAACTGTCGAAACAGATGTCAGTTCCGAGGTGGGCTTTGCAGCTTCCCCCTTCGCCTCCATCTGCTTCTGTTTTTTATAGCGTCGCCTTGCCGCTCCGCTATAACGAACCCTAGCGATTGGGGCTGGGCCTTATTTGGCTCCGCCCCCGAATTGCTCGGGCTTTCTCCTCCAGGTCGTTCGTCACCTAAGGTGGCCACGCCCTGTAGGACTTCCGAAAAGTTTTCATTTTGATTTTGACTTGTACTCATATTTGATCCCACGAGTACCGCGGCCGCGCGGTATCACCTGGGCAGAGCCGCGAATGCCCAGGGCTTGGCTCGATACTCTCGAAGGTCGCCCGGTATCCGAGAGGCACCGTTAGTGACGTAACTCCCCTTACGCCATGCAGCCCTCAGCACGGTTGCACACACTTTAGCTTGGGGAGGTTCCGCTTTGTCCGGCGCACACGGTTGCCATCTCCTGAGCGAGCGGTTCCCGCACGCCCCCTCAAGCCCCTCCACCCGCCCCAGCAGCCGGACGAGCCAAGGGGGCCCAGGCTAGTCGGTCACACCCCTGAACGGGTGATATCCTTCCGCCCCGGACCCCCCCCCCCCACCCTATCAGCCGCGGGACTTCGTCAAAGTGGGACCCATCGGGGGGATGTAATATCTTATAATTTACTAAAAATATTTTCAGAATATACTATAAGATATTTTCAGTATGTACTGAGAAGCAAACTAGTGAGACATAGGAACTTTCTTAGTATATACTTGATATCGTAGTACATATTTCGAATATTCTTAGAATATACTAAATATACTTTAACGATATTCTCAGAACATTTTCCTAATCTACATGTGCTGTGTGGGGAGAAGGAGTGAAGGTAAAAAGAAAAGAAAGAAGTGGTAGCTTAGAAAGTATAGAGAATTTATTGAAAAGAAAAAGGGAGCTGGAGGAAAATAGCACAGAAAGGAGGGCGTAAAGGCTTTTAAAAAAAAATAATAAAATAGTGAGATCACCAGAGAAAGGAGGGATGAGGAAAGGGAGATAAAGAGACTAATTCAAGATATGTGGCAAGAAGTGAAAGAGATGATGGGGAAATTAAATGAGGAAATAAAAAAGCAGGAGGAGAGGATAAGAGGAGAGATGGAGGAGCTAAGAAGAGACTACAGAGAGCAAATGGAGAGAAGAGAAAGAGTTAAAAGAGAATATAGAAGGAATGAAGAGGAGAGTGGAAGGGCTGGAGAAAAAGATGGCGAATTGGAGGGAGGGTAAGAAAGAGGAGAAGGGACCCATAGAAAAAGAAATGGAAAAAAGAGTAGGGGATATGGAAAGGAGGTTAGAGATAATGGAAAAGAGAAAAGGAGGAAGAACAGTCATAAAAGGATTGGAAGTTAAGAGAAAAGAAGAGAGGGGGCAGAGAAATTGCTGGAGAAGATAGAGGCGAAGGTAAGAATAATGAAAATAAGGAAAATAGGAAAGGACAGAAAGAAAGAAAGGGAGATAGTGATGATAGAATTGGAGAAAGAGGAACAAAAATGGAAGGTGATGGAGAAGAAAAAAGAAGCTAAGAGGTAGAAAAAAGAGGATCAATGCGGATCTAACGTGGAAATCATAAAACACATTATGAGTTGACAGTTTATTTGCAATTCGAAACGCCATACTAAGATATAAATAGATAAGAAAAACTGTAATTTCGTATTCATTTCTCGTTTTTCATATAAAATTGGAGTTTCTTGGGATCGTTGATATATATTGCAATCTTGAAGAAGGATTTTTAATTCTGTCAAATTAATGCAACAAAAGACTAGAAATATGAAAATCGTAATTTTGTTACTAATATAGACAGTCGAGGGATCCTTTAATTTTGCACGATTAGTTAGTAACTCTTATTTTCATTGCTTTGAAGAGAACGTTTTTTTATCATGTCGGCGGATGCAGTTTTTAAATCGTAAGCTAAACCTAAATAAACAAAGAAGTCGATAAATGCTGTGGTAAAATTCAACCCATAATTTTCAAATTCCGCTGTTTTGTAATCCCAAGGGAAAATATAATGATAATTGTGCCAGCCTTCGTCAAGAGCCATGATAGAAACTGCAATATTGTCGGTAGAGCTGATGATCTATATAATATAATAATAACACTTGTTACACAAAAAAACAAAAGTGGTATGTCCGAGAGACCCCCCTACTCCTTGATTTGTTGGTTCTCTGAATCAAAATCCGAGGTCCGTTTAACTCCATCAGATCCCAATTTTTATAACCTCAAAATATATGAAATTTCGGGGTAAATTCGACTTTATATGGAAAAATCAACTCTCGGCTGAAATTTAATGGAAACGTTATGCCGATGATATATATTGGTGTATTGAACTATCATACCTATTTATACTATGAGATACTTTGCATACCTTCTTGAAATACGAGATCACAGCAAGAAGGAAGCTATATTTACTGTAAATAGTGCACTCTTTACTTAGATGCGATGAATAAAAATGGACCATCGATTGTCTTCGTGCCGTAAAAAACACAATAATCTTGTGTTTATGTTTACTTATTTTTCCGATCTATAAGAAGTTGAATACTTCTTGCATCCATTACATGATGAAGTCATGTTCGGATAGAAACTACCCAGGTAGCAAAATGACATTATTTTGACGTTTTTTTGGTGACATTAGTTTGCTACTTGAGTACTGAATCTGCTGACATGATGAACAGTACGGGCGATGACAACTGCTCTAAAAAAGGATAAAAATATGGCCAGAAAGGAACACAATGAAACCTGGATCCATGAAGATAATCAAGGAATCGTTGATTGACAAATCAAAAGTTTTACTTCCGCCTCTCCATATAAAACTTGGTTTAATGAAGCAATACGTAAATGTTTTAAACAAAGAAGGTGATTGTTTTCGCTACATAGGACAAACGTTTCCTAACGTCTCTGACGCTAAATTGAAGAAAGGAATATTCAACGGCCCTCAGATTCATACATAGTTAAAAGATGGGGTCTTTGCTACAAAAATGAATGATATCGAAAAAGAAGCATGGCTTAATTTCAAAAACGTTGTCGGAAATTTTTTAAGAAATCACAGAAATCCAGATTATAAGGAATTGGTGGGAAAAATGATTGAAAACTTTAAGGAATTAGGATGTCTGATGAATTTGAAGATACATTTCTTGGATTCGCATCTCGATTGGTTCCCAGAAAATCTCGGTGATTATAGCGAAGAGCAAGGAAAACGATTCCATCAAGATATCAGAGAAATGGAATGTCGATATCAAGGAAGGTGGAATGTAAATATGATGGCTGACTATTACTGGACAGTGAAAAGAAATATACTACAAAGAGTGAGAAAGCGAAAAAAACGAATGCCTTTACACAGAACGTTTGAGAGCAAGAGAGCGCGCTACTCACGGTAAAAATAGCTTTCTTCTTGCTGTGATCTCGTATTTCAAGAAGGTATGCAAAATATCTTTAGTATAAATAGGAATGATAGTTCAGTACACCGACATATATCATCGGCATAACGTTTCCATTAAATTTCAGCCAAGAGTTAAATGATTTCTTTATATAAAGTCGAATTTACCCCGAAATTTCATATTTTTTGAGATTATAAAAAACTGGGACTTGATGAAGTTAAACGGATTTGGGTTCAGAGGACCAAAAAACCAAGGCGTAGGGAGTCTAGTATTTCGGACATACCACTTTTGTTTTTTTGTGTGCCTGTGTAATTTTTAAGCACCGATATGATGTGAATTATTATAAATACGATTCACTAATTTTAAATAAATAAATATATATACATATATATTTGTACATAATAAGTCACATATACTGCACAAATGCATACTTATTATATGGTTTTTCACCCCATAAGTGAGCCACAGAATTCACCGCCCAAGTAAAATTTAAATTTAAACCATATCTGCACACGGACATGTGCCATGCATACCAGAAACTCTCATTCCATGCCAACCAAGGTACCAATATTGGTATGATAAAGCAACAGAGTACTACCAAATATGAATACCATCTAAAAAAAAGTATGAATAAAAAAGATAATATCAATATATAAAGTCAAACGAACAATGCTTCATTTGGTCCCGTAAAAATAAGTTATGCCTGTCGTACTTTCTTTGAAAGACCACGAGGGGGTCTTGTTCTATATCACTCATGTCAATCGTAGCACCCTTGATAATGACGTCCGAATGTTTATGAACCATAAGCCATCCGATATGCGAGAAAAAAAATCCTCTACGCGCATTATACGGATCCGCATCAGTGTCAGTGAATTTATGATGCGTTCTATGATCTCTAACCCACACGAAAATGTTATCCTAAAAATTATAGCTTAATAAAATTTGAATACCACAAAAACAGAAATAAAATGTAGAACTCTAAATAATAGCTAACAAAAGTTTACAATACACTTGAACGAGAAGAAAAACATTAACAATAAACTTACTTGGAGAGCAGCAGCATTGAGAATTACAAGAATGAGTCTCAGTGGCCATTTCGCTTTATAAGACCGATGACACCATAATCTATGAGCGCCAGCAGTAATGCCAAAACCCGAAAGAACAGCAATAATATAAACTATAAATTACAAATAATTATTCGATAACATATATGTATTTTATTTTTATTATTGTATTGAATATGTGCAATGTAGTTTAAAATCTTATGGAATAATAACAAATAAATAAAAAAACATACACCAGATAATCGTCCACAGTTTGGCGTAAAAAGCAAACAGATATAATCCGTAAAGGATGGAAAGATGAATATAAGTGAAAATAATCACATTTTTCCAAACAATTTTCATTTCATAATTGACCTTATGTGATTCTTTTGTCAATATTTCGTCATTCACAGTCTCTTTAAATTTCATTACAAAATTTTTCATTATATTGAATGTCAAACTGTAAAAAATTGTGTTTAATAGTAAAAAGTGCAGCTTCTATATAAATTTTGTAATAATAGTCTGCAACACATAATAATTCTTAACATTGTATAATGTTTTATCATATAATTTTTACTCATTAGCATTATAATTCACGATTAAAGTTAATACAATAATAAAGGAGGGAGCGGTCTGAATTTGTGATAAAAAGACAAAAAATTTTTATATACGAGTTTTTTTTGCTTCTCGCGTCACGTCATAACAATATTTGCTTGTATAAAAGTTTCATAATTTATACGTACAAAATAAGATCGCTTCCTCCAAAAAATTGCATAAAGGAATATTAGTGAACTTGCAGAAGTAAGTTTGTAACGGTTCACCTTTCCCGACGCCGCGGATCGGCTCGCCGGTTCCAGGATTCGGGAGGAAGGGGGAAATTCAGACTCGCTTATTCCTTAATATAAAAACAGTGGGTTTATTCAAATAAAAAGAACAACGAAAAGAATGTTTAACAGCAGGCTACAGGTCATCCTACGGGTTTAGCGGATCGCTGGGATACGTAGTGAACGGTGATCGCACGGAGCGTCCGGTGGCGTAAAGCCTGAACAAAGAACTTAAGAGCTACCCGGTATATGTACAAAGCGGGAGGATCGAACGGAGCGTCCGGTGGCGTAAAGCCTGAACAAAGAACTTAAGAGCTACCCGGTATATGTACAAAGCGGGAGGATCGAACGGAGCGTCCGGTGGCGTAAAGCCTGAACAAAGAACTTAAGAGCTACCCGGTATATGTACAAAGCGTGAGGATCGGACGGAGCGTCCGATGTATTTACAAGCTCGGAGGCGTATAGCCTATAACGGTGTCCAGATGGGACTTACAAGTTACCCGGTATACGATACTGGAGATACAACAGGCGGAGGCGCATAGCCTATAGCGGTGTCCTGATGGGACTTACGAATTACCCGGTATACGATGCTGGAGATACAACAGGTGGAGGCGCATAGCCGATAGCGGTGTCCTGATGGGACTTACAATTTACCCGGTATACGATGCTGGAGATACTAGGTACTGGCGTAACGCCTTTATTCAAAACGGGGAGCTGTGAAGCCAACGTACGGCGGCATATAGCCTTATAAGGATGTCCGGAAACCGGGAAACCCAGTATAACGACGAGAAGCCCGTCGCCCGGATGTTAGCAGGATGGACCGGAAACTGGGAAACCCAGTGTAACGACGAGAAACCCGTCGCCCGGCGGATAGCAGGATGGACCGGAAACTGGGAAACCCAGTGTAACGACGAGAAGCCCGTCGCCCGGCGTATTACAGGAGGAGACCGGAAACCGGGAAACCCGGTGTTACAACGAGAAACCCGTTGCCCGATACTAACGGTAGGAACCAGCGACCGAGAAACCCGGCACTTTCACAACGAGAAGCCCGTTGCCTGGTCTGGGAGATTTGGAACGGGACTGGTGCCGGCTCGTCCGCCGAGCCGGCTTATATACCCGTCCGTCGGTCCCCTACTCCGCGTCGAGTCCGTGGCGGGGGTACCGCGCCGGGATCGCGGTGGGGCGCCCCCGGGGTGGGGGCGGCCCGTGTGGAACGATTAGGGGCGCCTTTAGGCGCCAAAGCCTCACGTGGCGGGCGGCTGATCGGCCCGCGAGGCGTTAGTAACGGCTGCGCCGTTACAAGTTTAAAAGTCTAATAAAAAAGATCTCGATTGTGGAATATTTCATTTACATGTGTATGTGCGAAATGACATTTAGGAATAAAACAGAGCAGAAAATTAATTGCGCGATGTCGCGATAGAGAAAACTGCAATCGTGCAGTTAGACAAGAACAGATAGTCATATTATCTTCGTCTCTCTCATACATAAAATAATATAACGCAAAACGTCTGCCTTTTTGTCAACATAGAGTTTCCTTCAAGAAAGGCTGAATGAAAAGATTAGTATATTTCTTTATATCCATGCATATATGTATGTATGTATGTATATATGTATGCGTATGTATGCGTAGAAAATGTTTATAAAGAAATATATATATACAGGGTAGGCCATTTTAATCTTTCCACTAAAATTTCTCAAAATCCAAAAATTTAAGACAAAAATGTTTCAGATAAAAGTTGTATGGTTTCAAGGGGAACATGAGATGATGTCATTGATTTGACCTTGAATAGCCATTTGAAGGTTACGTGAAGGTCAACTTCAATTTCTTAAATGGAACACTATATTTTTTCTTGCATACTTTTGTAGCTGACTTCGAGATCTTTCCAAAACACTACAATAAAATATTTTTTCATGAAGTATTTTTCGAGTTATTAAGGCTGCAAATTTGCAGTATTTTGACATAAAATACAAAATATCTTGGGAAATATTCATTTTTCGATTATCATACCTTAATACTTTTATGCACAGAATAATGAGACGAATCAATTGGTGTAAAGAAAACACATAGTTGTCTTAAAGAAAAATTATCTAACTGCTTATTGCAATTTTCATATTTTTTTTAAAGGTAACTATGTGTTTTCTTTACATCAACTGATTTATCTCATTATTCTGTGCATAAAAGTATTAAGGTATGATAATCGAAAAATGAATATTTCCCAAGATATTTTGTATTTTATGTCAAAATACTGCAAATTTGCAGCCTTAATAACTCGAAAAATACTTCATGAAAAAATATTTTATTGTAGTGTTTTGAAAAGATCTCGAAGTCAGCTACAAAAGTATGCAAGAAAAAATATAGTGTTCCATTTAAGAAATTAAAGTTGACCTTTACGTAACCTTCAAATGGCTATTCAAGGTCAAATCAATGACACCATCTCATGTCCCCCTTGAAACCATACAACTTTTATCTGAAACATTTTTGTCTTAAATTTTTGGATTTTGAGAAATTTTAGTGGAAAGATTAAAATGGCCTACCCTGTATATCTACATACCTATCGATTTATTTAGCTATCTGCCTATCTATCGAACTATCTATCGATCTACTTATCGATCAACCTATCTATCTATTTATCTATCTATTGATCTATCTGTCTCTCTGTGTTCCTGTTTCTATCTCTCTGGCTCTTCTCTCTTTTCTACATTGCATTCTCTTATACATGTATACGTATATATAATTTTTTAAAAATAATCTGCATTACATAAATAAAAATAATTAAATTTATAATCTAAAAATATAATAATTTTAAACAAAGAAGGGCTATAAGAGCTATTAAACATAATACAGTGTCAAATGTTATTAATAAAATTCATTTAAACTAAATAATAAATACATAAGAAATAAACATTTATGCGAACGTTTCGGCTGACATTTTAAGCCTTCTTCAGCGCAATGCAAATATTTTAATTATAAATTGAATTGTAATATTAACATTAAATTTAAAGTGTAAGACAGGCAATAAGAGCCAATGGCGGAAGACAGTGCGTTATCCCAACGATTAAATCCCAACGAAATTAAATTTTTTTGTTAGAATTAAATATCTATGCACAAGGCACCAAATTTTACTTGGTCACGGCCAAGATTTAAAATATGAAATAATCTCATTTTTGAAATTTAATTTCAATAATCTTTTAACCCCCCTACAGAAATAAATAAATAAAATGCAAAAGAAAATAATAGATCCGAAAGTCGCTGAATCGGGAATTAAACCCGATTATTTCATATTTTAAATCTTGGCCGTGACCAAGTAAAATTTGGTGCCTTGTGCATAGATATTTAATTCTAACAAAAAAATTTAGTTTTGTTGGGATAACGCACTGTCTGCCGCGATTGGCTCTTATTGCCTGTCTTACACTTTAAATTTATATTTATATTACAAAGCCGTGTTTAAACTCTTAACTTAAACATTAAAGACGGTAATTAACAATGTTAAAATAATAAATATATAAAGTCAGTTTTTTGTCTTTTATATATGTTGCTAAACAAGTCATCGTGTATGACAACCACCATTACTGATACATACTGAGTTTGAGCGACCGTACCATGCAATCACTTATGAGTATGGACTTCCTGATTTACTGGTCAAGAGAGATATCTTGATTGTATCCTCATAATGAAATGTTGTTAAACATTAATTAAGATCTAAATAAATAATATCCGATTATTCATTATACCCTGTATATACGTACATACATTATAATACATACATATATATTGTATATATGTATATATAAATGTATGTATGTATATATGTATGTATTTATAAGGTGTCCTGCAACTGATGTCCACAGTGAAACATATTTGTATTCTTGAGATCATTCTAAAAATAAACATGATTTTGAAATTTTCAAGATTTTCTCCATCTATACATTTTTTGATATTCTAATGATACCCCCCTCATTCTTATTCAAAATTTATGGGGTTCAATTTTTATAAAATTTTTTTACATAAATAAATATATATATATATATAATTTGAAAAATAACAATTTCTGAAAAATAAAGCAGTTACTTGCTTATTTTAAATAGTTATTAACAATAGAAATATTATAGTAGTATTAAATAGTCGTTACAATAGTACAATAGTAGTAATAAAGTTATAAAGTAGTAGTAGTAGTAAAAAAAATGTTTTTCATGCCAAAGACGATCCATTCGTCTGCTAGTTGCTTTTAAAATATCTTCTCCCAAAACGATTTGCATGTGCGTTTTCGTTATTTAAAAAAAGGTATTTTATATCAGAGATGATATATTCGTCTGCTAGTTGCTTTTAAAAATATCTTCTCCCAGAACGATTTGCATGTGCGCTTTGGAAAAAGATATTTATATATCAGAGACGATATATTTGCCTGCTAATTGTTTCTAAAATATCTTCTCTCAAAACGATTTGCATGTGCGTTCTGGTTATTTAAACAAAGATATTTTGTACCAGAGACGATATATTTGTCTGCTAGTTGCTTCTAAAAATTTCTTCTTTCAGAACAATTTGCATGTGCGTTCTGGAAACAAGATATTTTATTATCGATTTTAAAAAATCGGTGGAATTATTCTTAGATACGATGGATTCTAAAGTTAGTATTCAAAAAGTTTCACCTTTTCCTAAATAATAAAAAATTATCAAATCAATAGTT